TTTTAACAAAACCATTATACCCTGATTTCCCATTTTCAATGGGTTCAGGGTATAAAAAGTATTATCCAAAAAAAAAAAAAACACACACACAAAGCATTGAATACCCTACCCAAGTATTGCAACGAATGGTTAACAGAGACGTTTCGTTCCGTAATCTAGGTTCATTTAAAAACATGTATTTATTTCTGTCTTCCGTTTCTTATGTAGGTAAATTGAATGTTAGGTAGTTAAACTTTTTCAATCAAGAGATAACTTGAGATATCCGATCCTTGTAATTTCTGTTGGGTTCAAGAAAGATCTATAAAAGATGGATTCATCTTACTTTCGACTATATTGATAAGCAAAATTCCATATTATACAAATACTCACAGGTGTTTGATTTTCACAATATACTCATGATACCCTCTGTTAGGGTAGCACAACAAAGAAACGGAACACACAAAAGACTTGTATTATATATGGTCGCATCAGGAGGTAATAAAGAATATTAAATGCTCTCTTAAATATACGATAAAAAACTTATTTACGGCGGAATTAATCAGCTTATCAGGCATAAAATTCTTTAACTAATCCGTTGCACATCTGTAAAAACAGCACTATGTTTGTAATTTACATATGTATGTATCATTCCATATTGACAGCAAGTGTCAGACTCACTAAAACTATTCAGTTAATTTTATTATGTAGTATTATTTATTGTATTATACTCCATATATTGGTATCAGATATTGCTTTTCTGAATAAGTTGGTCATGCTGATCGAAAAAAAATTTAAGTTTACGCGGCCCATGGTTGGGTGAGTGTCTCTCTTCGTGGTATTGTTAACTTCCCATGATTCATTCCGGTATTTACCAAAGCGGAATTGACGCACAACCGACAGCAACCTATATATAGCCCTGATTATCTTTGGGTAAATGCTGTTTGTAATATTACCACGAATACAAAATAACGTGGAACAAAATCACTCGCATGACCTGGCCCACAGCACAGAGAGCTATGTTACCGTATATTAGTTTCAATACGGGAAAGTTTTTCACACAGAATTACTTTAAATAAATATGCATTTTGAATAGACATATCAGCATTAAAGTATTATTTGTATTGTATATGCCCAAAACTGTATACCTATGTACAAAAGAAGACAACATGGAAGGCAAAGTACCTTAGGGCCTATAAATATATATATACACATATACATTTTGTTATATATGTGTTATTTATACTTTTTCTACATAAATTTCTCAATTTAAGCACAATGAAAGCTACAGCTATCAAAGATAAGTAGCTAAAAGATCGAAACATTTACCGTTTTAGTTTTATCGATTAACAGCCATATAAGAAATAAGCTACTAATTTATATGTCGTGCATCTTTAGAGCTTGAGTCTTAAGATTATACACGTTGCAATTTGACTAAGCTGTCCCTTGAAGATCTGGTGCAAATACATATACCCAATATATGAGTAAATTGCCCAATGTACAAAAATGTTTCTGCTTGACCTTAACTCTCAGACATTTCAAACACATATCTATGTATTTCTTTAGCGAGGTTCCTTGTGCCAGGCTGAGGTATTTTTCAAAATAAATATAATTGATAAGAACCTCAGTTAAGTTTTCATTAAATTGATTTTGAAAGGGCATTTATCATAAGTTGTAGTCCAGGTCGCCTCTTCATCGAGCGGGTGGGTTGCGTAAATCCCGGCCGCTTCTGATCACTTTATTTCCCATAAATTGTCGTTCAGTCAGGTTAACTGCAGAAAGAGAGAAAAACGTTAAACTAGAAAAATGTTAAGTTTTGTTGAATTATTTAATTAACGTACATGTGAAACATACAGCTGCGTATCCAGTTTCCAGTTTCCAGTTTCCAGTTCTCAGTCGACGTGATGGCCACGCGATGTATTTCACTCAGGAGTTTGTTTCATTAACTGCATAATTTGAGGGAAAACTTTGCCCGGCCGCACTTCAGAGTACAGCCGAGCAGAGCAAGGCAGAGAAGCTGCATAACTTTGCAATACTTCAGTTGCATTGCGTGTAATATTTAATTATAGCACACAACTTTAGTGGGCGATGGAAGTGATAGGATGTTAGGGGGAGGGAGGTGGGGCCGATGCTGAAACTGGGGTTGGCACTTGCCAATTGCACTTTTGTGGCAGTCGCTGCCACCGACACGGCATAAACGTCTTGGGGCATAAAATATTTAATTGTGTCACGTAACTTTTTACTAACTGACTGCGAGCAAGTGCAGCAACAAACATAATGGAAGTGTATCTGAAGGAAAGGGAGCAGGAGAGGGGTGAAGGAGTAGGTGCCATAGAGATAACGTCAAGATTGGGCGTTGCAGAGATAATTGAGAAAGCTCTAGGGAAGCGTGTGGTCTTATGCAAAAGCTACTCAAACGAAATGAGTTTACTGAGAAAGGATATTAGCCAGGACTCGTTTACCATACGAAATATACAGCTTTATTCAGTTGCTTCGCCTTTAATACAATTTAATTTTTAGTTTAAGGTTCTTTATATTTAATGTAAAAAAAAAGAAAACGAATAGTGCTGCATGTTTAAGAGATTTTTAACCTATGAGCAGACTATTTAAAATTGTTATTGTTTCGTTTTTCTCTTTCTCTTTTTCATGTTTTTGTTTTTAAGTCGAGTCTTTGTATTTTTCGTGTAACGCGAATTCAATATTTGCCTTTTCCTTATAGGATTACACATACATATATAATATATAATTTCTATATCGATTAGTTCGTGTGTGTGTGTTTGTGTGTGTGTTTGCGCGCGCGTAGGAGATGCGCGTTATCCATTTCTTGTCTCTCTGTGTGTGTGTGTGTCTGGTTCTGGTTTATCTTTTTTTAAAATGCAAACCTGCTACATACCATAAAAATTTGTAAGGCGCACTACTCCAAAAAAAAAGGTGTCTCTATTGTTTTCTTTAAATAATAATTTAACTGTTACAATTAAGATTAGGGTAGGGTGTGGTCGTAGCGTGGCTTAGGGCAGCGTGTAACGCACATAGGGCACCTCCACATCCTCGCCGTCGACGTCGTTGCAACATATCTCGAATACCAAGGAACGCTCATAGGGTTCGATGCGCCGCTTAGACACGCGACGCACCACCTCGGACATGGGCAGGGGCAGGCGCTCGGCGCACTTGGCCTTGGGCATAAAGAATGAATAGAGCATTGAGACGCCCTGTGACAGCATGGTGATTTTCAGTTTCTCATTTTCTTCAAAGTAGTTGAGGAACTCTTGCAGCGACATCTCGCCAGTGACCTCGAAGCGATCCCACAGTGTCCACTCCTTCTCGTAGTACTTGTTCTTGGCCGCCGGCAGCGGCTCGGAGAAGGCCAGGAACGGCAAAGCCAAGTTGGCGAATGCATTCTTAAACTTAGGCAAATCACGATGACCGGCTATTAACTTAATCACCTCCAACACAGCCAGGCCGGATAGCACAGAGGTCGTTGTGGCTATAGCCGGAATAATCTTGCCAGCAATCAGCTTCGATTTGTGGCGATCGGCCGGTGGGATCTTATAGTTGGTTGCCCGCAAATTGGAGCAGGCCACAATGAAGTCCATGTGCAAATTGCTATCGTCGTCCTTCTCGAACTCCAACGGAGTTATCTTCGAGGACTTGTCTGCATTCTTCACCAACTCCGATATGATCTTATCCACGCGGTCCTGATCTACTTCGCCGTCATCGAAATTGTTGGCAGCTGCAGCGGCAGCGGCCTCATTTGTCTCAATCTTAACACCAGAGCGCGGCTTAAATTCGGGCACCTGCAAAGGGTTACACACACATATATATATATATATATATACGGTAATGTTCTGTAGAAACTCTGCTCATCGATTCCATACCTTAACCTGCTGCACCAGCTCTGCTATCTTCTGGCGATCACGCACTTGGGGTATGCCATAGACTTCGGCACGCAAATTGGCCGCCGCATAGATGTAATCCAAGTGCATCGGTTCGTTCACATCGAAAACAAGAGGCTCGGGACAGCGCTTAGGTCCAGACCAGAAAGGTTGGCCACTTGAGGTGACCTGATCGGGTGGGAAATTGAAGAGCAGCTGCTTGATTTGGTTGGCATATTGATCTTCCCAGTGGAAGCGAGCCCATTCCACGCAGTCAGCAAAGCTCTTTGGCTTGTCATCAATCAAGGCTTTCTATAATTAAATCGAATTGTGATAAATAAGGGCACTGAAGAGATTAATATATATATATATTATAGGTCACCTTAATTGACTCCAGAATCTCTAGTGGCTGAATGCCAGGCAGCTTGAGAATGCGCTCAGTAAACTGAGGATCGGAAATGTATTGCGCAGCATTCTCCGCGCTCTGCTTGAAGACACCCTCGAAGGAGTCGCGTGCCCATTGCAGTGTGTGCTCAATGGCATTGGGAAAGTTCTTCAGTGTGCAAATGGGTATGCTCTTCTCTGGGGGATCCTGTGAGGAGCTGTACGACTCGGTAGCAAATGGCACAATCACCTGCACGTTTCCCATGGTGCCCAAGGTGCCTGTCTCGACCAGCGGTATGCGATTGAATATGCACTTGCGGTCCATATAAATGCGTGCGTCGACATTGTCCAGCGCATTGGCCACACCATCGAGCTTGCCGAAGAAGTCCTCGGAGAAGACCTTCTCGGTTTCAGCACCCACACGCAACTCGTACGCCGTAACCTTAACATCGGGATTCATGCGCTTTATGGCATCGGCAGCTGTTAGTGCCTTGGGCTTCTGCACATCGTGCGGACGGAACAGAAACTGCCGATTCAGATTCGACTTCTCAATGAGATCCATGTCGGTAACGAAGATCTGGCCATTGCCCACGCCCAGGCCAAGCATGCCGAAGTTCTTGAGCAGCTCGCAGCCAATGGCGCCAGCGCCGACAATGAACCATTTAGAATCGGCCAGCTTGTCCTGGAACTTCTTTCCGAATATGGCAATCTGTGCATCGTAGCGCGTGCCCAATGGCTGCGCGTCGGCCTCGGTGACGCCCTCGGCCGGCAGACACTCGAGCGCATCATAGTAGAACCACTGATAGATAGGCGTGAATTTGCCGCTGCATGCCTTGAGCACCTCCTGGGCGACAATGCCACCAATTGCGGCATCCAAGGGGCAAGTGTTGCCCGCACAGATCTTGGCGAATTGCAGCACCAGCTGCTCATCCACGTCGCTCTTCAGTTCCTTGCAGAGCTGCAGAAACTTCTGGGCATCCTCCTCGTTCCAGGGGCGTGGCAAGCCGCGATTTCCATTCAAGTAGCAAGTTAGAGCTTTGAAAGCCACATGCAGAGTGGCGGGCGCATCCAGCTTGCCAAAGTCAGAGATCAAGAACTCCGGTTCCTGCTCGGCCTGTGCCAAAGACTTGAAGCTAATTGTCTTGGGCATTTTCACCTGAGTGGCCACGCCGCCCGACTTATACTCATCAAAGTTGCTGGTGTCCCCGATGCTGAAGGTGTACGGTCCCAGCACATTGATCCTGATAGGCTGGCAGCCATTCAACTGGTGCATGCCCTGCACCTCCGAGAAAGTGACGTAGTCGCCATCATTGAAGCCATGGCGAGTCTCATCCAGACAGGTGACTACGCCCTGCGCATCGTGTGTAATGCTGGCTATCATTGTGGATACCGGCTGCGCACCATCTTGATCATAGATGGTGAATTTCTCTCCAAAGTCACAGAAGACCTTGGCGAACAGTCCACGGGTCTCTGCGATGATGAGAGCAATGTTATTCGCATGGGCGAACTCACCAATACGCTGCTGTTCAATGGCATCCGAGTTGGTCAGGACGATGACACGGAAACGCCTGAGAAACTCTTCCGTGAGCGGACCGGTATATGAGTGGGTGCGCACATAGCTGTTTAGCTCTGCCAGTTGGGCACAGGACGCCTCGGCGCGATTCTTGCCAATGTCCGACGTGGTTAGATAGAACTGCGAGGCCAAGTCGTTGAGCTGCAGAGCAAGAGATGAAGAGGTTATTAGCGAAGAGAAATGAGTGGAGTGCAGTGGAGTTCAGTGAACGCGCGAGATTGTGAAATTGTGAAATTCAGTTCAAAGTCGCTGACTCTTTAGACAGGGGATGCGACAGAGGCGGCGCGATAAGGGGAGGTAACAAAAGGGAGACAACGCTGTCGTCGTGACCTGTTTACACGAAAGCTCTTGTTGCGATATGTGCATAACAGTTTTTAATCTGCGTGCTGTCTGGCAACTCTGTCCGAGCATATAAATATCTGCCAATGTGCCTGCCGACTGAACAATGTCAGAAGGAAAATACAAAATTAGTCAGCGCTACACAGAAATGCAATACAATAGATAATTTTCAGCATTTCATTTTTGCCGCTGAAAACGATTCGATTTTTTTTTGTGCTCGCTCGCAGAGTAAAACAAAAGCGAATATGCACGCAAAGCGTAGAGCAAAAACAATTAGAGACGGCACGCAAGCACTAGTCACCTCGCTCGCACACTTTTTGGCGAGAACTATAAGCGGGCTAGCAAAAAACTGAAGAAAAACGAATGAAACAAATTTAAGAAATTTCTTACTTTTTTTACGCCCAATTTGTGCGTTTAAAACTAGGCAATACGCAAACATAACCTATAAAATGAGATTTTCACAAAATTTGAGCGAGTTTGCCAATTCATTTTTTTTTTTTTTTTTTTTTTTTTTTTTTTTTTTGTTTTTTTGCAGAATCATGAATCATGAATGATCACTTTTTTTGCATTGCGTCTTCCCTACACTCTATTCTAATTTTTTTCTCATGTGTTTCGCGCGCTCGACAATTAAGATGCAACACAAAGTAAATTTATTGATTTTTAGCTACTTACCGTACAAGCTGCTGTGTCATGGAGGGTAATCGATTTAACGCCACCCAATATGACATTTTTTGCTATCTCCAGACCTAGGCCGCCCAATCCGGACAACAAAATGTCCGAATCGGCCATGCGACGCATTGCATCGTGTCCAAGCACATAAAGTTGGCGCGAATAGAGCGACTCATCGATGTCTCCGCCACTGTTGCTGTTGCTGGCAGCCATAACTGCACTGTTATTACTGTTATTGTTGTTGTTGTTGGTGGTGGCGGTGGTAGTTGTGGTATTGGTGTTGTGAGAATTGCTATTGGTGGAACTAACTGAGTTTGTTGAGCTGACAGTGCGCGCAATTGTTGCCGTATCCAGTAAATTTGTTTCCGCCGCGGACGAGGACAACGAACAATTGTTACTACTTTCCTTATTCAATGCTGACGAAGTACTAACGTCCCCGCCACCGGCAGCAGAATGCTTTGACGTATTCGCTGCGCCCGTGTCAGAAGTAGACGACGATACGCACACGTCTGTTTCGCTGGCAGCTGTAGCTATAGCCGTCTCTGTCAACATGTCAACGTCGTTTGCTTTGTCGTGATTTTCGTAGTTGTTGTTGTCGCCGCTGCCGCTACTACTGCTAGCAGCGAGCTTGCGTCGCTGCTGCTGACTGCTGCCACTGCCGCTGCCGCTGCCGCTGCTCGATGATGCTTCTGGCAACCCATCTTCGCCGGCATCATCCAATTTGAGTCGCTTACAAAGTGGTGGCTCGGAACTAGTGGCCCTGGTGCTGGTGCAGGAGGCTGACTCAGAGCGGGACATGCCTCGGTATTGTTTATATGCCTAATTCCTAAAATAGCGTGTCACAACGAAGACTGCTAAATGTGCACGAGTGTGGGTCCGGCGACGACGACGATTGGTTTGACTTCTGCTGCTGATATTTCGATCGACACACGTTTGAGTTTGCAATGCACACAACGATTAGCTAATTGCATACACTTTACACTTAAAACGTAGAGAAAATTTGCAA